CCTTTCTATATTAAGGTAACGATATACTATATATTTGTACATGTTATGCTCTATATATCTATGCATGTACATGTGTACATATGTATGCTTGGTAAGTGCGCCTTTTGTAAGCTATTCGAAATGTTTCTATGTATGTGTCTGTAAGAATGTTGCCATGGTAAATACCTAACACAAAAATAGGGTAGGCCATAACAAAGGTATATTAATGAAATACCAATAACCAGGTTAAAAAAAACCGTTAAGAGCGTAAATAAATAATTTCCTTCCGGTTGTGATTTTCAATGAGTTTCTATAACATTTTGAGTTAAGGCATTGTTGTATTATTGGCTTTTAAACACCTTTCAACTACAGACTTAGTGGAAGACCGTGAAATTCATTCGGTTAGCCCTAAAATCTTTGGCTAAAACGACAACATTGCTCACGGCTTGGGCAACATATACAGATCTATGTATGTATGTATGTACATACATGCGTACACACATAACACTACAGAAAGATGAGTCCTATTGCCTAGTAGTTGCCTAGAGCATGTAATGTTAAAAGTAAATAGTATTTGCATGTTTGCCCCAAATTCGGTACTGGTTATAATAATTTTTCAAAACTCTAAGTCTTACCGAATAAGCTACACACAAGGTTTTTTACACTTTACACTTCGGAGATTAGGCTTTCGTCACCATTTATTTTTTCGCGAGCTACTGTTACTGTTTAGGTCTCGAGTTCGATGGCTAGCACACCAACCATCGAAGTTGTAGAATATTATTTTGAATATTATTTTTACATGACTTATCTATCACTCATCTTTTTGACTCTCTCTTGATATTCGCAACGTTTTGATTTTCAAAGGATTGCGTTTAATTTTGAAGGTCGCTGCAAGCTTGAAAAAATATCACACAAAATCAAATACATACTACCTATGACTGTGTGTATATATAGAACTATGCAGATGCCTAAAAGATGGCCAAATCACGAAATGTCCTTTACGCTGCTGGAGTAACTTGTTTGGGATTTTTGTGCTTTGCATTAGCCTCGGCAGCAGTGGGAATACCTATTTGGGGTTATTATGACAGTCCGACAGGTAATTATAAACAGATTTTTTGATAGCTTTTTAACATATTAATCATATATTAATGCTTTACAGGTGCCTATGACTTCGATCGGGGTTATTTTGGCCCCTTTAAGGTTTGCAAGCAGTTAACATATAATCGAGAAAAATGTGGCAA